GCTGCCTAAGCTTCAAAAACTGATTCTCTTGAACAAAAACTAGCACATGGTCTTTCAAAAGTTAGAGCTATTTCAAAAGTAAATGAATGTTTCAGTCAATTAACACTTGATTCACTCTTTGATTTACTTGACATGGTACCAAATTTACTCCACCCCTGCACATCAAGTTCTATATTATACAGACTAAGGATGCCTGTTAGACTGTGACTTAGGTTAAAAACAAGCGAGGTTCCAAAATAACAAAAGGGGAAATTTTAGAATATTACTAACAAAATGCCAACTTCCAAATTCCCTGGACTTAATGTTTACTCATCTGTAGCACAATAGGTTCCTTATCTTCCTTCAGTTTAAGTTAATGTCTGTTAGCCAAATTTCTTGACTTCTAAAACAAAACTTAGGGAAATAAACTGGGCATACTACTACTAAACATGCCATTTTTCATTTCTTTACATTAAGGTATGTGAATTCAAGACAAGCCTGTTCTTTCCAGCAAGAAGATACACCTTTCTTTTTTTTTTTTTTTTTGAGATGGAATCTTGCTCTGTTGCCCAGGCTGGAGTCCAGTGGCATGATCTCGGCTCACTGCAACCTCTGCCTCCTGGGTTCCTGCAATTCTCCTGCCTCAGCCTCGAAAGTAGCTGACATTACAGGTGCCCACCACCATGCCCGGCTAACTTTTGTATTTTGTAACTTTGGTATTGTAGTTGTATCTCAACTAAAAATGGGGTTTCACCACGTTAGCCAGGCTGGTCTCGAACTCCTGACCTCAGGTGATCCGCCCGCCTCGGCCTCCCAGAGTGCTGGGATTACAGGCATGAGCCATCGTGCCTGGCCAGATCCACCTTTCTTATACCTCCCAGCCATAAATACTGAAGCCTTATTTTGAATATGGCAAAAACACATACCCTTTTTAAAGGCTTCTTTGTAAAAAGCAGAAACATAAACTGTAAAGAAATGTTTCCCTTTAAAACATTAACATTTGTTTTAAACAATCCTCATCTCCCCAATTTTTTTTTTTAATTAGCTGGAGCCAGCTGAGTTAAAGATAACGATTACAAGTGAGTAGGATGTCCATCTCTTAAAAATATAGACAATCCATCACCAAGATTGTAAGGACATCGTATCAATTCCTTATAGTTGTTATATTGTCATTTTAGAGTCAAATAAATTGTAAATATGGCTAGGACAATGTATAGACACCAAGTGATATTTCACCTAAGAAGTTAAGGAGATTTAAATGAAAGCTGGAGGAGATCTTTCACCAGCCCCAAATAAATATGAAGTGGGAAACGTAAAGGGAAAAAAGGGGAGGCAAGAAAACTTCTTATATTTGGGAAAAGAAACGTGTGTGGGTAAGGAATGGGTAAGATACAACCTGATTAGGACCAGCCATTCACATTTGTCAGTACAGAAAGCTTACCAATACTACTGTTAAACTATTTTTATGAGTAAAATAAGTTACATAGGAACACTGTTGTGAGATGCACACAACCTTCCCTTTGAAAAATTTACTGTTAACTGTATTCATTTTCTTTCAAGGTACATGTCACCTGCAAAATTAGGAGAAGATATTGTGATTACAGCACATGTTCTGAAGCAAGGAAAAACACTTGCATTTGCCTCTGTGGATCTGACCAACAAGGTCACAGGAAAATTAATAGCACAAGGAAGACACACAAAACACCTGGGAAACTGAGAGCGCAGCAGAATGACCTAAAGAAACCCAACAATGGGTATCAAGTATAGATTTGGCTCAAACAGTTGTCATTTTTGAAATAAACTAGCAAAACCAGAAGCAGTTAGAAATATTTTTTGAGGAAAAGGACCTGGAAACCAAGTAGGGTAAAGGTAGGGGTGTCTTTTTTTTTTTCATTTTAAGCATCTTGTTTTTTATTCATGTGTGATAATTGGGTGAAAAATTCTTAGCTCAAAGTGTTTTGAAAACAGGTAAAGCAAAGAAATTAGCAGGGCCACCCACTCTGTTAAGATTAAAACTAAAGTCCCGTGTTAAGCTAAAGGAGAAATAGAAATTAATTATTCTAATTCTGTTTGGGCTGCTATAGCAAAAGTATCATAGACTGGGCAGCTTATAGGGACAACAGAAATTTTTCATGGTTCTAGAGGTTAGAAAGTCCTGGGTCAAGGCCCCAGCAGATCCTGTTAGGTGAGGGCCCGCTTCCTGGCTCATAGATGGTGCCTTCTCACTGTGTGGTGGAAGGGGCAAGTGAGCCCTCTGGGTTCTCTTTTTTTTTTTTTTTTTTTTGGAAACAAAGTCTCGCTTTGTTGCCCAGGCTGGAGTACAGCAGCACGATCTCGGCTCACTGCAACCTCTGCCCCCTGGGTTCAAGTGATTCTCCTGCCTCAGCCTCCCAAGTAGCTGGGACTATAGGCGTGTGCTATCACACTGTTTAATTTTTGTAGAAACAGGATTCGCCATGTTGGCCAGGCTGGTCTCGAACTCGTGACCTCAGCTGATCCGCCCGCCTTTGCCCCCACTAAGTGCTGGGATTACAGGTGTGAGCCGGTGTGCCAAGCCTGGGTTCTCTTTCTTAAGGGCACTTATTCCAATCTTGACGGTTCTGCCCTCATGATCTAATAACTTCCTGAAGACGCCCACCTGCTAATATCATCACCTTGGGGATTGGGATTTTAACATACAAATTTAGGGGAAACACATTCAGACCATAGCAATGGCCAATCCTTAGTGAATCTTAGGTTCTTCCCAGATCTAAAATGCCAAACCACACTTGCATTTCCTTAAGATTATGAAACTTCAAAATATATGAACTACAGCCCATATTGAAAAATAAAATAGATTGAGCCATATGCCTAAAAAAGGCCTCAAGAAAGTTTGAGGCAAAGCACATTAGTGATACAGGAAATGGTCCAATAGAGGGGGAAGAAAAAAAAACATGCTACTAGCTCCTTTTCTTGTACTTAGAATAAAACCATGCAGATCTCAAACCTCCAAGTTTACAGTATTGAAAAGACCAAGTTCATTTCTCAGAAGTCTCCAAGTTCAGTTGACTGTGGCACTCTTGAGACAGTCTCACTGTCTCTCAAGCTGGAGTACAGTGATACGATCCCAGCTTACTGTAGCCTCAAACTCCCAGGGTCAAGACATTCTTCCACCTGTCTCCTGAGTAGCTGGAACTACAGGTGTGTGCCACCATGCCTAATTTTATTTTTGTAGAGACAAGGTCTCATAAGGTCTCACGTTGCCCAGCCTGGTCTCAAACTTGTAGGCTCAAGCAATCCTCCTGCCTTGGCGCCCCCTGCCCCACCGCAAAGTACTGAACTTACAAGTGTGAACCACTGCACCCAGCTGACTCTTCCTTGATTTCTGTGTCAGGGAGTCTTAATGAACATTTCATGATTAAAGACTAAAAAGGATGCAGCTTTAAGTAAATTTAAGTCAAGTTAACAGTTAAAGGCACATCCTTTCCCTACATCATAGGCTGATTTGTCCACCAAAAGGGCAGAAGACTCCACAGTACCAACAGTAGCAGTGAGCATACAGGGGTCCCAAATATTTACTTCTAGAATTTCCCACTAAAAGGAACCTGGGCTCCTTGGAGAAACAGCTGATTCCAGGGCTTAAGGCTGGGACAGAAAAGTTACAGTATCTTCTGCATAAAAGCACATGCTCAAAATAATAAAGGCATGCAAATTATGATTCAGAGGGAAAAAATATGAGGCCATAGTGTTTAGGTAGATAATAAATGGCAGAGATAGAACACTTTCTTACAACAAATGCTGTAAATGGACAGAGGGGTAGATTTGGAAAATCACTATTTTGTAACCATCATAAAGACTGGTTTTAGTCTGGAAAGAATCACCAAGGGAGCTCCTGGTAACGAGCAGGATATTTGCACGTTGTTTCCCAGAGATTGCTAGTAATAAGTACCATATATAGGGAAAACCAGGATACCCTGACCAGGTGCTCAAAAGTAACATCAATGAAGAGCAGATGGAGAGTATGCTTGGGAAGGGTGTAAGCATGAATAAACAATTCAAATGCAAAATGAGTTAACAATTTACAAGAAAAATTGCCCTGTACTCCAAAAAACATACAGGTCATGAAACACATAAAGGCTAAGGAACTGTTCCACATTAAAGACAAACTGAGAACAACTAAATTCAATGATCCTGTACTCTAGGGGGATCTAAGAAATGCTACCAAGGATACTGGGACAACAAAACAAATATGGATGATAAAGAGTATCCCATTCCCTGAGTTTGGTAATTTTACTCTAGTTATATGAAATATTCTTATACTTGGAACATACGCCAAAGTACTAAGGAAGGGGTAAGGAAGCACATGGTGTGCAACAAACTCTCAAATAGCTCAGAAAGTATGTATAAATGCACGTACAGAGAAAATGAAAAAAATGTGGCAAAATAATAAAAATGAGGGTAAAGATTACACAAGAACTTTCGTATTACTCTGGCAACTTTTCTAAATTATTCCAAAATAAAAACGTAAACAATGGCTGCCAAAATGCCTAACTTGGTGAACATAAATATAATTCAATATGGTAAATTAATACAATATGGCAAATTAAGAGACAGACCCTAGAGCCAGCCAGCCTGGTTTTAAATCCTCCCCTACTTATGATCTGAGCTTGTGCAAGTTACTTAACCTCTGCATCTATTTCCAGCCAAGGTTGAGAGGTTAAGACAAGAGCTTAGAAGAGTACCTGGCTGTAATAAACATTCAAAATGTTATTTCAAATAGATTCTGATTTTTAAGTAAGAGGACACATGAAAGCATTTTGAAATTTAAGAATGGCACTTTCCCATTAAGCAAGGCATAAGGCCAGGTTGCTAACTTTTGAAAGCTGACAGTATGTTCTTGATTCCTATTCTTGAAGTTACACACTCAATTGCCAGGTATTTTTCTTCTGAATTTGCCATTTAGCCACAGACTGAAATGAAATAATTCCCTAAGGTGACCAGTAGCATCAGTGAAATGGAAAAAAAAAGTTAACACTTCAAACTTTCTGTATTCACCTGAATAGTCAGGGAACTTTCACCTATTTTATTTAGGTTTTCTTTTTTTGTTTGTTTTTTTGTTTTTCCAAATTCCAACCAGAAGCTAAATACAATTGGAAACTGGTAAGCCCTAGTTTTACTCCAAAGGAGTAGGATCATTCAGATTTACTCCAATAAAAGTATGCAACCCTTAAGCAAAGCTCTTCATTTAAAAGAAAAAAAAAAAACACCTATACAGTAGTCTTTCCTTATGTTCATTGCACAAAATGAGTTCTGCTTTTAGAACTTTGATACTCAATGGTTAATTTTACAATTTAAGATTCCAACTTTATAACCTTTTTCTACTCCAAAACACCCTTTAGTTTTTCTATAGGATGGTGTAGAAACCAGCATTTCTGCAACAATTCACTGGAATTTTTTTCTTTGTAATAAAAATCTCTTCTCTGTAAAACCAAAAAACAAAACAAAACAAAGTCCTCTACCTATCATAGTTTCTGCAGCTATGAATGTATTTCCCAGTTTTATAGCTGCTTTATAGCTACTTCAGACTCCAGATCTGCTTTATTGAGTATACCTGCATCCACACACAGCAGAATACTCCTACAATAGCAACTTGGGGAAAGAGATCTGGAAAAAAAAAATACATGAGTACCAGGAAACAAACATGGCCCAGTAAAATATGAGGCAAGAATGCCTACAATGAGATGCGTTTTTCATTTAAGATTTCTTTCCCATGGTTGTATTTTCTTTTTTAAACAACCAGTTCTGGTCATTAGAATGAATCTGACAGTGCTCTGGAACGACTGTGATTATAGCAAAGCTATTGTTTTTAAAAATGTTATTTATACCTGTTACATTCACTTCTCACCCTCTAAATACTGATGACAGATGTAAAAGAGGCAAATACCAGCACAAATGGGAAGACCATAAAAATGAGTATCACCTTGTGCTTTCAGATACATTTAAGCATTTCAGTGTACAATAGTCCTTTCATTTCACATTTTTAGTAAGATACTGATGCAGTGCAGCAAATATGCAAAGCATCTTCTTTCACACAGTCTGTGCACGACATCTAATTTTTTTTTAAGTTCTGAGATAAAAATGATTTAAAAAAATCCAGGATGAACGAGTTTCAAAATGCATAGTGTTCTGTGCATGAGTCCATTTTCTTTAAACTCTGAAAGAATAAAGTGGTAAGAAAACAAGAAAAAAAATTGCTGCTGCATTCTCTGATCTTCTCCATTTTGCTGGTCAGTACTCTACTCTGGCATATAAGGACGGAGGTGATCCTCTATGGTGCCAACTGCCCAGTGGGTGAGCTGTTCCTGTGGCAGGTAGAGGCAGATGCTGCATAACTTGAAGATTGTAGCTTTGTTTTTTGGAGTCTGGAAGGGGAAACATTTTAATACTTTTTAAAAATAAAACTTTAGCATAACTGTCACATGAAGTCAACTTCCCACAATTAAGCATCTTAACATACAGAGTAAGGGACAAATTACAGTCCCTATCCATATTCTAGACAGACAAAATCTTGCCATATAAGATGCAAGAAAAATTTATGCAGAATTAAAAGATAAAAAGTTGGGGAAGTAAACCAGAGACTACTTGCTAGAAGAAATTAAAGCTAAAAGCATTTCATGAGTTTGAAGTCATTTTTACATACAGGAAGACAAAGCAGATGTGGTAAGAATAGAAGCTAGTGAGAGGATGAAGGAATAGGTAAAAATTTAAGGCTGGGTGTGGTGGTGGTACTCTCAGCACTTTGGGAGGCTGAGTCAGGAGGACTGCTTGAGCCCAGGAGTTCAAGACCATTCTGGGCAACATGAGGAAAACCCACCTCTACAAAAAATACAAAAATTAGCTGGATGTGGTGGCACATGCCTGTAGTCCAGCCACTCGGGAAGCTGAGGTGGATCACCTGTACCCAGGAGGTCAAAGGTATGGTGAGCCATGATCATGCCAGTGTACTCCAGCCTGGTGACAGAGTGAGACCCTGTCTCAAAAAATAAAAGAAAGATTTAAGCATATCCTGGGGTAAGGGACTAGAAGAAAGCCAAACTATTACCAGTTAAATCAAAAACCCTTATTTTTAAGAAGTAGTTACCATTTGAACATTCAACTTAACTACAAAGTTCATCTTTTGTTCACTATCTAGTACCTCTAAAAGGCAAAATAAAGACTGACTTTGAAGATGTCTGAAGTAGTCTACAAATGTAAATGAACCTATACATATGTACATATACTTTACTTGTATTAATTTTAGAAGCAAAATGCTCGCTCACAACAGTTACCTGTCCAAGATCACACAGCCAGCAAGTGGCTGCATCTAAAAACTAAACTGCAATACTTGGATTGCTGCTTAAAAGGGAAGTGGTTATTTGTTGTTGGCAGTGTTTTTTTTTTTTGTTTTTTTTTTTTTTTTGAGATAGGGTCTCACTGTGTTACTCAGGCAGGAGTGTGTTGGTGCCATCATGGCTCACTGCAACTCTTAAAATCCTGGGCTCAAGCGATTCTCCCCACCTCAGCCTCCAGAGTAGCTAGGACCACAGGAGCATGCCACAATGTCTGGCTAATTTCTTTGATTTTTTGTAGAGATGAGGTCTCACTCTGTTGCCCAGGCTGGTCTTGTACTCTTGGACTCAAGCAATCCTCCCCCATCGGCCTCCCAAAATGCTAGGATTACAAGAGACACTGTGCCCAAATGGAAGTGCTTATTTGAAATAAATGTGGATCTTTTAAATAAATGTCACTCATCCTTTTAGATTTAAGAAGTCGGCTGGGCACAGTGGCTCAAGCCTGTAATCCCAGCACTTTGGGAGGCCAAGGCAGGCAGATCACAAGTTCAGGAGAACGAGACCAGCCTGGCTAACACGGTAAAACCCCGTCTCTACTAAAAATACAAAAAATAAAATAAAAATCAGCCAGGCGTGGTGGCATGCGCCCGTAGTCCCAGTTACTCGGAGGCTGAGGCGGGAGAATGGTGTGAACCTGGGAGGTGGAGCTTGCAGTGAACTGAGGTCCCGCCACTGCACTCCAGCCTGGGCGACAGACTGCCTCTCAAAATAAACAAACAAAAAAGAGGGCCAGATCAGTGCTTCTGGAAACACAATGTGTTTCAAATCACCTGAGGGTTCTGTTTAAAGTGCAGATTCTGATTCGTAGAGTCTGAGAGTCTATATTTTTAACAAGTTCTCAAGTGATGTTTATCCGTTGCCCACACATCTGGTAGAAATGCTTTAGGGCAACGGTTCCCACTACTGTTCACTAGAATCATGACTTTTACAAGCTTCGAAGGAGGTGGGTTTTTTCCCTTTTGTTAAAAAAAAAAAAAAAAAAAAAAAGCTTGCCAGGTTGCTGTAAAGTGCGGCAAAATTTGGGAACCATTGTTCTACGGTGAGGTCTAGGAAATGCTGTTTTAAAAATTCGTTTTTTTTGAGACAGGATCTCGTTCTGTCACTCAAGCTGGAGTGTAGTGGCAAGATCTCACTGTAGCCTCCTAAGCTCAAGCAATCCTCCCCCTTCAGCCTCCCCAGCAGCTGGGACTACAGGCACACACCACCATGCCTGGCTAGTTTTTATATTTTCTGTAGAGATGAAATTTTGTCATGTTGCCCAGGCTGGTCTGGAATTCTTGAGCTCAAGCAATATACCCGCCTCGGCTTTCCAAAGTGCTGGGATTACAGGTGTGAGCCACCATGCCCAGCCTTTTTTTTTTTTTTTTTTTTTAAGTAACTTCAAAAATAATGCAGTGTTTGGGGGAGAAAACAAGTAACTTGTATAAAAAACATTTACTAACCAATAAGTTTTTTGAATGAGCCTGTAAGTGGTTTTCAAAAACCTGCTTACCTGCAAGTGCTGTCTGTCAATGAAGAGAAACACTGACTGGTTAGGATTGTTGACAACAATTCCAGTCTTGTCCTTGCGGCTCAGTACATGCAGAAACTGTTTCTCATAGTCACCGTGATGAAACTCAAATTTGGCCTAAATACAAAATACAACATTTGTATTTAACTTCAAACAAGTTATACTACCTGAAACATCTGCATCTATATGCATATAGCTGTGCTGTCCAATAAAACAGCCAACAGTCAAACGTTATTTTTTCCTCTTTAAAAAACAAATTATGGCAAACCCACAGCTAGTATCACAGGCAAAAATTTAGATTAAAAGATATTTACAATTCCATTCTTCAGTAACACTAGCCACATTTCAAATGCTCAATGGTCACATTGACTACTGGCCACCATTAAGAACAATCTCTTGAGATACGGAACATTTCCTTAATTGTAGAGAATTCTATTGGACAGTACACTCCACGGCGACAGCTGATCGGGAAATTCTCTGCATCAAAATGACTAAATCCTAGTACTCCATGATCATAAAATTGTATTTTCAAACCTACTCAGTCCAAGACTCCCACCATAGTACTTTAAGCCTCAAGGACATCTCTTTTGATTAGGAGGCACATTGTTAATTGCTGTTTCTAAGAAAAAAATAAATGTTTATTCTAACCCTAGCTGCACAACTAATTACGTGACCTTACGCAGATCCCTTAACTTACCTAAACTTCAGCTTCCTCATCTATAAAATAAAGCCGTAACCCATTTCACAGGACAGTTAAGAGGATTAAATGAAATGTAAAGCCCACAACTGAAATATAGTTCTGCTCCTCACAGATAGGCTATGTTTTTATGTGATTTTTTCCCCACAGCTAGCCTTGGGTTGTTTTCAAAAATTTGTGAAGTTATGAAAGACTGTTATCAATTAAGTCAGAACACGCCCTTCAATCTTTTAACATTAGGAAGATCAACTCCATCCTCCCACAAAATATCTGTTGGGCATGGGGAGACACCAAATGCTAAGACATGACCAGGCTTGATGAAGAATTCAAGAAACCTAGACTTAACAATATGATATTTAGATAATACTGAGTTGTACAAATAATCGTTAGTCCATTTGGTTCAAACAAATTTTATTGCCCTGTTACGTCTAAAACAGTAGGAAATAATACCACTGAAAAACCAAGTTCCTGCTATGCAGGATTTTATACCTAGGAGCTTTTCTTATAAACCATAACATAAACTATGATATAGCATCACAATATACTACATGTAACATGACACCAAACTGTACTTCCATACAATTCAAATACTAAATTATTCGTATGATCATAACCATATCAAAAGCATGCTATTAGCTACTAAAAAATAGGAATAAGATTACTTTAGCCTTAACGGGCTTATTACACTGCTGAAGAGGACAAGTACATCCAAATATAAAATCCAACTTGCTTCAATTCCTTTCCTAGAATAAGATGTGATTATTTGTAAAACTCCAATTTTTCCCCCTTTTTTTTTGAGACGGAGTTTCGCTCTTGTTGCCCAGGCTGGAGTGCAATGGCACGATCCTGGCTCACTGCAACCTCCGCCTCCTGGGTTCAAGCGATTCTCCTGCCTCAGCCTCCCGAGTAGCTGGGATACAGGCATGCACCACCACGCCCAGCTAATTTTGTATTTTTAGTAGAGACAGGACTTCTTCATGTTGGTCAGGATGGTCTAAAACTCCTGACCTCAGGTGATCTGCCCCACTCAGCCTCCCAAAGTGTTGGGATTACAGGCGTGAGCCACTGCGCCCGGCCCAAATTCGGTTCTTATCATCAAACTGCTATAGGACAAAAAAATAACAGTAAGTAACACGGGCACATTATGATTTTGGATTGCACCTTTAAAGATTAAGAGAATTTCCCCAGGACAAGTAGCAATGGTAAGTAATCTGATAAATGCTGACTGGGCATGGTGGCCCAAATCTATAATCCCAGCACTTTGGGAGGCCAAAGCAGGAGGATCACTAGAGGCCAGGAGTTTGAGACCAGTCTGGGCAACACAGTGAGATCCTATCTCTACAAAAATAATTAGCTGGGCATGGTGGTGCACACCTGTGGTCCCAGCTACTCATGAGGTTGAGGTGGAAGGATCACTTGGGCCTAGGAGGTCAAGGCTGCAGTGAGCCATGACTGTGCCACTGTACTCCAGCCTGGATGACAGAGTGAGACCCCATTCTCACCATCTAAAAACAAAACAAAACAAAACAAAACAAAAAAGCCATGCTAGGAAACAGAACCAACACAAAAACAAATGTGTTAAAAACTGAAATACTATTCAAGTAACAAAGCTGCAACATGGGAAGTAACCAAGGTGGGTGCAAGAACAGTAATCACACTGAAAAAAGGTTTGAGTGAGACTGAAAAAGGCCTTCCTTATGATTCTATAGCAATTCTATCATATTGAATATCCACTTATGTGAAAAGAAACGGTGTACACACACAAACACACAACTTCTCATAAGCAGCATGAAAGAAGAATTCCCACAGAAGTAACGAAATATTCTAACAGTTGGGGGAGGAGCTAACCTCAGTAGTAGCATTAATAATGAAAAGAAGAGATATATTTCAGTAGTACCTCCTGGCACTTCACAGTACACTGAAGAACTCACTATTTAAAAACAATCCTTATTCTGGTTCCGATTATACCCTCACTGCCCAAATTTTCAGATTTTAAAGTGCTTCAAAAGGCCAGGCACCGTGACTCATATCTGTAATCTCAGCACTTACAGAGGCTGAGGCAAGAGGATCACTTGAACCCAGGAGTTCAAGACCAGTCTGGGTCACAAAGCGAGACCCCATCTCTACAAAAAATTAATTAAATTTTTAAAATAAGTGCTTTAAGAGTCAAAAAAAAAAAAAAATGAGGCCTGGGGGTTAAAATTTACCATTCCTTTTCTCATTTTCTTTGAGAAAGAACTAAGTGAGTTGTATTTAAGGCCCCTCATACAGGATATTCATACATTTCAAATTACTTCAGAAAAGCAAATTAGTTCTTACAATATTAACCTACTTACTGCAGTTGAATTCTAAAGTTATTACCTACATCATACTGCTTACATTCAGTCCAGAATTTTAAGATTCTATAATTAACAGAGGTAACTTTTCACAGTACAGGGTAGTGAGTTAAAAGCATAGTCAGTCCAGGCTTTTATCCTATTTAACTGCCTTGGGCCTTATTTACCTAATTTCTGACTCAGTTTCCTCCTATCTACCACCCAGTTATTTTAAGGACTGAGATTAAATATATATAAAGTAAGAGAAAGTCTAAGGCCGGGTGTGGTGGCTCATGCCTGTAATCCTACCACTTTGGGAGGCCAAGCCAGGCAGATCACTTGAGGTCAAGAGTACGAGACCAGCCTGGCCAACATGGCAAAACCCCGTCTCTACCAAAAAAAAAATACAAATATTAGCTGCGCGCCTGTAATCCCAGCTACTCAGGAGGCTGAGGCACAAGAATGGCTCAAACCTGCGAGGCAGAAGTTGCAGTGAGCCACGATCACGCCACCACACTCCAGCTTGGGCAACAGAGCAAAACCCTGTCTCAAAAAAAAGGACAGGCAAAAAGGAAAAAGCTGGCTCACACCTGTAATCCCAGCATTTTGGGAGGCCGAGGCAGGCGAATCACGAGGTCAAGAGATCCAAACCATCCTGGCCAACATGGTGAACACCCGTCTCTACTAAATATACAAAAATTAGCTGGGTGTGGTGGCGTGTCCCTGTAGACCCAGGGAGGTTGAGGCAGAAGAAATCACTTGAACCCAGGAGGCAGAGGTAGCAAGGAGGCGGAGGTTGTAGTGAGCCAAGATCACACTACTGCACTCCAAACTGGCAACAGAGTGGGACTCCATCTCAAGAGAAAAAGAGAGAAAAAAAAAAAAGCAGAAGCCTAGTACAGTCAACTCTCAATAAACATCAGCCATGACTTCAAAGAGTACTTGACACAAGACTAAAGTTAACTATTTCGAATAAGGTCCCAGTGGGAAAGGCGGGGTATCAGAAATTTGAAAACATACTGTAATACGCAGACCTACATTTTTCCAATGGAAAATCCTTAACTAAAAAACCAAATCTTAACACCACCTCCAGAAAGTAGATAGAGTTATCAGCCCTGTTCTGAAAACTTTAAATATGCCTTTTCTATTCCTGTTTTCATGCCTTTTATATTCATTTTCTCCAGTATTCTTGTCAGTCAGATATCATCCATTAAATGACAGAAATACAGATGCTCCACAACTTGTGATGTTACATCCTGATAAACCCAGTGTAAGTTACACGTATTTTAAATCAAAAAGTGACTTTTTAACTTACAACAATTCCATGAGTTTACCTGGATGTAGTCCCATCATAAATCAAGGAGCACAATGAATTGATATGGCTTTCACATCATGGTAAAGTTGAAAAATCTTAAGTTGAACCATTGGAAGTCAGGGGAATCTGTATACAGTACTTTCATATGTATAACCAAAGGATTATCTTTAGAACTCAGCTGAATTAATCTTAAAACATTAAAAATGATGATTATTAGAGCTTATGTGTAGCAACATTACCATGGGGGCGGGAGAGTATATCAACTTATACAGTCTGTGAAAAACATAAGCACCACAAAGATACTTCAGGGTAATAAGCAGAAGCAAAAGTTTTAAATTACAAATAATCCTCACAATTAGCTTAAAATAAAGCCTTCTAATATTTGATTTAGTATACTTAAAATGAGTCCTTAATGTCATCATTTTTCTGCTTATAAAAGTATACTTAAGAAAATTGTGGCAATATATGCCATAAATTATAAAGGAAACATATATGTAAACACATATAATAAAAAAGGAAAGTTAGCTACACCTGACCTACAACCAAGCACACCTAACACTTTGGTGGACTTCCATCTTCTATGCATGCAAATATACTATAAATAAAACTAGGTTCAACATGAGTAAATGCCCTTAACACTAGAGGGGGGTTTCACTTGAGCAATGTCCAGTATACCATGACAAACAGTCAAACATCAGCAAGATTTTAAGGTTAAGAATGACTACTAAATTTACTTCTTTCCTCTATAATTTTATATACAAATCAACTTCTAGAAAATGATTTCTTCACGCATTTCAGACCACACTCCTTTGGGAAGCAGCAGAGTTAAATATACTGTTTTAGAAGGATGTGTGGTGAAGGCTACAAGAGTTACAGATCTCAGAAGCTCATGTGTGGGCCCCTCTATAAATCAATAAATGTCCACTTCAAAAGATTTTCTCTAGCCATAACTTCAAAGCCACACTGGGCAGGTGGGACCACCACAATGTCAAGAGATTCTATAATCCAAATGCTTTCTTCTCTTGCATCACAATACTCTAAATAGGGGGGACTTGTGAAATAAAACTATCAGAAACCATATTCCCAAAGAATTTATCAAGTTAGACCCTATTATATTCTAGTAGTTTTCACATACTGAAATACTCATCACACTTATTTTAGACCAAAATACCTGAACAGGCCTAAAAGGCTCATCAGATTCCTTCCACCTAGAAAACAGGAGACAGACAATTTTTTCAATATCATTCCGAGGCCAAAGAATGAAATCCATCTCCTGAGTACAGCCAATTACATCCTATAAAATGAGGAGGAAAAAAAAAGTTTACTTTTAAAGAAACAGCTACATCAAGCAATGTCACAAATTATAGGGTTTCCCTACAAAAACATTTTATAAGTACAAAAGACCTACCATATATCATTTTATATCTTAGGAAGTAAACATAATAGTTTATAATCTGAATAGCTCATGATGTAATTTTTTATTTTTGGAGAGGGTCCCTCTCTGTGGCCCAGGCTGGAGTGCAATGGCGCAATCTCTGCTTACTGCAACTTCCGCCTACCAGGTTCAACTGATTCTTGTGACTTAGCCTCCCAAATGGCCGGGATTACAAGTGTGTGCCACCATGCCCAGCTAATATTTTTTTGTATTTTTAACACAGATGGGGTTTCACCACATCAGCCAGGCTGGTCTCGAACTCCTGACCTCAGGTGATCCACCCACTTCGGCCTCCCAAAGTGTTGGGATTACAGGCGTTAAGTCACTGCGCCCGGCCCTAATTTTTTTATCTTGCAGAGAGTCACATACACTCAGTCCAATGCTCCTAACACCAAGACCTAGATTTATCAGTGCACAGAGAAAACTCCAACAAAATCTCTGATATCTGTTGTGTTGTCAGACCCTGAAACTTTATTTCCACCTTTAAAAATCAGAATCTATTTAACAAAGAGGTCTTAGAACTCTTAATATGAATCACTATCCTATTATAGTTGAAATGCTATTTTTATGTTGATAGGAAACTACTTTTCTCCATTCCTGACTTCTGCTTCATTACTATAGCCAGCGTATTAATTTTTGAAGGTCCACAAATCTCTTCCAGACCAGTACCTGGTTATCACCAGCATTCTCCCCAAGTAACTGTGGGGATATCTTGGTTCAGGTATGCCCAGATTAACTTTTAATATGTTGCAGAAGTTTACAAAGCTGGAAACACTTCCTTATATTCATATTCCCCCCAAAAAAGGAAATGCAATAAACGGAGATATAAGACATGTATCCTCAATAATAATACACACGATTATGAGCCTAATACAACAAAGTTTCCCACGTTTTACTCAAGGTCAAATTTTAAAAAACAAACCTACTTTAAAAATTTTAAAACTTTATGTATAACACTTAAATGATTAAAAATAGTTGGCTACTGGCTGGGTGCAGTGGCTCACACCTGTAATCTCAGCACTTTGGGAGGTCAAGGCAGGAGGATGACTTGAGGTCAGGAGTTCCAGACCAACCTAGCCAACACGGCAAAACACCGTCTCTACTAAAAATACAAAAAATTAGCCGAGCATGGTGGCACACAACTGTAGTCCCTACTCCCAACCACTGAGGAGGCTAAGGCAGAGGCATCATTTGAATACGCAGGGGCAGAGGCTGCTGTGAGCCAAGATCACGCCACTGCACTCCAGCCTCAGCAAAAGAGCAAAACTTTGTCTCAAAAAAAAAAAAAAAAAGTCCGCGATCATCAACACCTAACACGGATTAAAGAAATTCCTTTATATACTTTATCCACATAAGAATGGTCTGGGGTAAAAAAATGTCTTTTTCTAATCCTATAAACATAGTGCTTTAAAGTCACGATCCCAGTTATCAACATGGCACAAAGACAAATTTACCCTTAAAGACTGGTCACTATCATAATTACCCACTTTAAGGGGGGATTGGGGGGGTGGGAAAGGCAAGGTTAATCCACAGAAACTTTATCAAGTCAAGACTTAAGGCAGAACTTACCCTTCTCATAGACTGATATCGAGGAGCATGGAGCTGTACCACATCCTTCTGTAAAAGCTCTAGGGAACTTTCCAAGGAATAGCTGGAATCTCGCACACCTTTCAGGATATTTTCTTCATAATTATTTGTCATGACTGGTATAACCTCAGACACTTCAAAAAGTGCTGACTTTTTCTTCTAAAAGAAAAGAAAATGGTGTATTAACCCACAGGGAACACAGCCTTTTAACACTCAGTTCATATTACAATGTCATGTAACATTAACTCCACAAAATTCCTAACTGTCTGAAATAACTTATATACTGAAAACACATGTTCAGATAGGTAATTTGTTCTGTTCTTCTCCTACCCTCCCCCTCCAACCATACATGTACAAGCTATCATTTGAATGTTTAATGCTTGAGTTTTATAGCATAATGGTATCCATAGCATTATTCTGGACACTATTTCTTAAAATTAAAAATCTCACCAGTTTTAAAACAACGCTATTCAGACAAATGAATTGTTTCATTCCTATGGGTGGTTTTTTTTTTTTTTTTTTTGAGATGGAGTCTCGCTGTGTTGCCCAGGCTAGAGTGCAGTGGCACGATCTTGGCTCACTGCAACCTCTGCCTCCTGGGTTCGAGGGACTCTCCTGCCTCAGCCTCCCGAGTAGCTGGGATTACAGGCCTGTGGCACCACATCTGGCTAATTTTTGTATTTTCAGTAGAGATGGGGTTTCACCATGTTGGTCAAACTGGCCTTGGACTCCTGACCTCAAGTGATCCGCCTGCCTCAGCCTCCCAAAGTGCTGGGATTACAGGCGTGAGCCACCGCACCCAGCCAAAACCATCAATATTTGAAAGACTAAAAAAAAGCACACCAAGTTATCTTTTAACACTAGTCGAGACCAAGTTCGCATCACAAAACTACTTTTTGAAATTCTATACTATTAAATATATATCATGAATTATTCAGGGCAACTGCATGGACACTGTCCATTCACAGAATAAACCAGATTATCATTGGTGTTAAAGAATTAGATGGTGCAATTTGGGGCAATGTATAGATTAAATACAAAGATCCGGTCTCATCACTTATTATCTTGGCTTAATCAAGATCCAAGATATGCTCCAATCCTTCCAAGATATGCTCTTGGAAGAGCATACATTATATCTTTAACTAAAATCCAATCTCATCAATTCTGAGTCAGCTTGTCAACAAAACAAAAGTGGAGATGTAAGTCCTTGATACCACCCAATCTTGGGGCAGTCACTTCAAAAATTACTTTAAAATCACTTCACAACACTATACTTCAGCAGCTAAGAATGTTCTTAAATACAAATAACCTTTTAGGAGTTAAGAGTTGGGGCTATGCATGGCAGCTCCTGCCTGTAATCCCAGCACTTTAGAACACCACAACAGGAGGATCACTTTAGCCCAGGAGTTCAAGACTAGCCTGGGCAACACAGTGAGGCCTGTCTCAGCAACAAAAATAAGTAAATAAAAGAGTTAAACAGTAGGGGAAAACCCGGGAAACTTCCAGATACTAAATAGATACCACACTAAGACTGTATTTCTGGTATGAAATTAGCTAACAATTTAAGCACCAAAATTCAAGTAGCACTTCCTTATATTCATAACCTCATCTCCGGTGAAATAAGCCTTGTTGATAATTTAAGAAAATGGTCACTTTAAGTTGCAAAAATTACTGCTTTTATCATCCCATTCTTGACTACACTCACAACTCACTGTTTGCTATTTAACTGTGGAACTAATTCGGATTAAGACCTCCACCGCCCCTAAAAATGAAACTTCCTCTAGGTCATTTTGAATTTTTAAAAACTGTACTTCTATATGAGGCAAAATGAACTCTAAGTAAAAAAGAAAATCACACTTCCAAACACAAATTAACCATTTCAGTATTTAATTGCTCCTAAAAGTTAAGGTGCACTCTACTTCATTAGATGTATGAGAAACAGTTACCTACATTACGGAGTTTAAGAAACAGACTAACTTTAGCATATAAACACTCTAATTACAATTTAACATTTCAAGCATCTTATTTATACTCTACATTAGATAATCTTTAAATTCTGTCCTAAGGTTTCCTATGTTAACTCCACATAAAATTTTATAATGTTGCCCACCCCATGTCAACTCAGTGTATATAACTATTAAGCTTCAGACTCAAATTTATTTCCAAACCAAGAAACACTCAAGGATCTTTTTGTATGCTGCAACTGCTCAATTCACAGAATCACCCCTAAGGGTGAAAAACAGAGCATACAAAGCAGACTTTTTTCAACCACTCTTTAACCTAATATTCATAATAATTTAAGAGTAACAAATAATACACACTTACAAAAATCACTTGTGCTAATTCACCATTAAGAACTTTAAATTACCTTCTCCTTGAATACAAACGCAATATACATCTTGAAGTCAAACTGGTCAGCTAGAGATTCTTTTTTCTTTCTAAGCTGAGCACGTAGTCTGTTCAGAGCTTGTTTCTTCCGGGAGTTTGGGTCCCCCATTTTGAAATACAGGTGGTACTAAAGCCTTTGGAAATTGTCACTAAACTACGGGCACTTTTTCTTAAGACTCAAGTACAACAGAAACAAGTCATTTTTTTTCCTGCTAATATGATTGAATAGCGAAAATCACGACTGTAACCCAAAAACTGCACCTTCTGGCAATATTAGCAGACTGTCATATTACAGGGTCAAGAAACAAAAGCTGCTGTCCAGTCATGTTTGGACAATAACGTTTGGGGTCAGACGGGAAAAAGGGAGGGAAGAAAGGAAAGAAAGAGGAGAAAATACTTTAACTAACTTTCTGGAAAACACATTTGGCTTAACTGCCAAAATAAAGGCTTTGCGGAGAAATGAAAAGCCTATAATCAGGATTTAGGTGTGTAATAAAACACAGCTGACACCAGACCAATCCCTAAAATCCATCCGGATTTTCCCCTCTTTTTAGAAAAGGGATTAAGAAAAGGAACAGGGAGAGGGGGAAGTGTGATCCTTGCTTTCCAAAAAAAAAAAAAAAAAACAGAAAGAAAACTCACCAAAACCAAAACCAAAACCAAAACAAAACACCAAAAACAGGGTAGGTGAATGAAACTGAAATATCCAATTAGATTTTACCCAGCCAGCTCCATGGCTGTGGTACCTAATTCTTAGTTATTTCAGATTTCACTATTGCTATGTATTGTCAGTGCTTGTTATTGATTACACTTGGTGGTGAGCGTAGAGAAAAGTGCAAAATCAGTAGAGAAGGAAAGGGAGAGGTACAGGGTTTCCCTGCAATCAACTACAGTGTATACCGGGGGCGGGCAGCTGTTGCCCAAAGGAGCCATGAGAAAAAACAGCGGAGTCATTACCAACTTCCCCATCACCCACATTTTCACCCTCAGGCGGCTGCTAACGCTGCTGCCAAGGAGATTCATGATGGCAAAAGGAAAAGGGGTATATAATACGGTATTAATTATTCCGGCTCTGTGGTTAGACCTGATTAATGCCCGGGTTCCCAACACCCCCAGCCTGCAACTAGTCCTACATTCCCCAAGGGAGACTTCCCTGTGGATTTGCCCCCGTTCAAGATGGTGGGGAGTGCGATTTATCTTCTTGTGAGCATTGCCGAGGCAAAGGTGGCGGGTTCTTCTCCCAAATCCCAGGCGGTGCCCGGAGACCACCTGCCTTCCACCCCCCCAGGTCCCACCCCCACCCCTTGCCTTCAGCGGCAGCGACTCACTCGCACCACGGGAGACACAGGATCACTCAGGTTTTCACTCATTTCATCGTGGAAACAATTCCCGCCCGGGTGGAGTAGGCGGGAGAGGGTAAATGGGAAGGTTCAGGGGGGAAAAAAAGAAAATAATTGTGTTAATATTACTTCTAAAGTAAGCCCACCCACCCTCCCCCCAAAAAATTAAGTTCCCGGATTAGCTCTCTCACGTTGAACAGACCATGTTTCCAGAGTTTGGATTGTTTAGGGTGGGGTCGTTAGTTTGTTTCCCGAGGGGCAGGGGGTGGAACTGAGGCAGTTAGGGCGGGGTGGGTGACAGGGAAATCCCCTCCCTGTCCCCGCGAAGCCCGGGACTCACGGACCGACTCTCGGGCGGGGTTTGGGCCCTCTAGCCGCAGCCTGCGGGCGGAGCGGTGGCGGCGGCGGAAGAGGCGGCGGCGGCGGGGGCGCTGCTCGTAGCACGGGCAGGAGCCATGTCAAGAGAAAACCACCAGCCAACTGAGCCCCTCCATCCCCGCTGCAGTGCGCACTGTGACTGGACCGCCCGCGCTGCTGCCGCCGCTCAGCCCCCACCTGGGACCCATAGTCTGGCTCGGCGCCCTGGGCGGCGACGGACGGGAAGGACTCGGAGACAGCGGCGACAGGGAGAGAAAAAGAAAAAGAGGAAAAACGAGGAGAAAGATGGGGAGTTGGATTGGTACTGGCGGAGGAGGGGGAAGGGAAAGGAAGCCCTGCGCTACGGGTCAGCGAAGTAACCCCCCAAAATAAAGTTATTTCAGTTCAAGCATCTGCTCTTGAGTCTTTCTTCCCCCTACAGTCGGATTCCGGCTCTCAGAAAAAGTCGAGGAGACCCGGAGGGGGGAAAAGCCGAAGCTGTTGATAAGCGTCCGCGGCGGTATTGCCTCGTTCCCCCCCCCACCGGTGGCTGCAGAAGCGGCGACAGCCTCGGGCGCCTCCCGGGTCCGGGGCAGAGTCGCGTTTGAGAAAGAAGCGAGAACAAACAACTTAAAATGGCAGCGAGGCCGCTGCGTCACCCGCCTCTCACCGGCACCGCCCCGGTGTGACTGCGACTGCGCGTCCTCTGGGACCCCACCATTTGCACAGAATCAAAGGGGGAGAAAGGATTGGAGGTGGGAAAGTTTGCAAGGTTATCGAAAAACGGAAAACAGATGAAGAGTACAGAATAGCAGTAGGTATTTTAAAAGTTGAGTCTTTGAATTTAACCTTTCCATTTCAGTAATCTCGCCTCAAAAGGGAGTTTGAGTGTTGAGACGCCTCTCTCCTCCAGTATGGAGTGTCCAAGGGGCGTGGAAAGGGTCTCCCTGCCACTCCTCTGCCCCCCTTCTTCAGGAAGTCCCGGTCTCCTGAGTTGGCTCTTCGCCCCGCCCCGATGACATCATAAAAGCACGCCCTCTACCAGCCTCAAGAAAACACCCGGATGGAGTCGCACTTCCCGGGTCTCGTCAGCCTCTCAGAGTCAGGCTGGGAGCGGGACAGAGCCGAACCATCGACCTGGGCGGGCCAAAACTGGGGAAGTGGGCGGAGAGTGGGCGAGCGTAGGGGCGGAGCAAAGAAGGAAAAGGAGAGTGTGTGTTGGAAGATTGGAAGATTCTTATTTCGATTCTTATAATTGTTAGTTCTTCTTGGGGTCGCTCCCGCGGTATCCTGCGGCAGCAAACCCAGAACTCATTTCGACACCTGTAATTTAAACGGCGTGCTGGAGCAGATGTCTCATGTTAGTGCCACTTGCCTCTGTCCCCACCCCGCCACGTGCGCAGGCAGGGAGGGCAGTCCTCAAGCTTCGAACAAGGTCAAAGACCTTGTTCAGACGTTGCTGCTGTGGCTTAGGAGAGGAGCAGTCCAGTCCGACTCGTGGATTTTTACCCACTGCTGTCAGAACACACTTTCTGTTAGGATCCCCCAGGACCTCAGACCTACAGCCTGCCCCTTAGGTGGTTCACTGTCTTCAACGAAACGTTTGCCGCCGAATCGCACGTCCTTGGCCCAAAGAGTCCATTTTTCAAAGCTCTAATGTGCTCATTAAAACACAGTTATGTAAGTACTTAGCAAAGGTCAATACTCCACATAAGCAATGCTTATGTGCTCATTGGCTACTCTGCTGAGATTTTAGAAGTCCATTGGGACCCCAATTACTACTTTTCACTTCGTGAAGTCAAAATAGATCAGCTGTAATAACATTATTTCAGCCATGAGCCAAAAGAATAACTGGTACTCACCCTTTAATATAAATTGTCCAGAACCAAAGGATGAGAGTCCTGAGGTTTCCAAATAACTTCTAATCTCGGGAAGATAAAGCTTGCATTTTGCTAGTGCTTTGCTGATTTGTTTTCAAAATCATGTAACTATGGAAAGCTCACAGGGATAAAACTGAAAATGTCACGTAGTTTAGGGCATTGGTTTATAAAAGAAAGATTTTTAAAAGTAAAGCCGAGCACGGTGGCTCACGCCTATAATCCCAACACTTTGGGAGACCGAGGCAGGCGGATCACCTAAGGTCAGGAGTTCGAGACCAGCCTGGCCAACATGGTGAAACCTCGTCTCTACAAAAAATACTAAAATAAGCCGGGCGTGGTGGCAGGCGTCTGCAGCCCCAGCTACTCGGGAGGCTGAGGCAGGAGAATCGCTTGAACCCGGGAGGCAGAGGTTGCAGTGAGCCGAGATCGCACCATTGCACTGCAGCCTGGGCAACAGAACGAGACTCCGTTGGAAAAAAAAAAAACAACACACACACATATGAGACACACGAGCCAGTATGATCTTCAGGTGATCTGCCTGCCTCAGCCTCCCAAAATGTTGGGATTACAGGCATGAGGCACTGTTCCCAGCTGGCTTATATGTTCTTGACCTGGCCCTGGCTTGTATCCATGATCAACTTCATGGAAGAATTTTTAAAATAACAGCTTTATTAAAATATAATTCACATACCATATTTACCTACTTGAAGTGTACAATCCAATGGTTTTTAATATATTCAGTGTTGTGCAGCCATCACATTACCCCAGAAAGAAACCCTGTACCCATTAGCAGTCACTTCTCTTCTTTCTAATTTATCTTCTGTCTATATATTTGCCTTTTCTGAAATTTCATATAAATGAAATCATTTAATATGTGTGTGGTCTTTTGTGACTGACTTCTTCATTTAGCATAATGTTTTCAAGGTTCATCCATGTTGTAGCATGTATCAGTACTTAATTCCTTTTTATTGTGGAATAATATTGCATTGTATGAATATTCTATATTCATTCATCAGTTGATGGACGTTTGAGTTGTTTCTTCCGTTTGGCTGTTACAAATAATGCTGCTATGAACATTTACTTAAAAGCTTTTGTGTAGACATATGTTTTGAATTCTCTTGGGCATTTACAGAGGAGTAGAATTACTGGGATATATGTTAACTCTGTCTTTAACCATGTGAGAAACTGCCAGATGTCTTCCAAGTCCGTTGCATCATTTTACATTTCCAGCAGCAGTGTATTCCAATTTCTCCACATTCTTGTTATTATGTCTTTTTTAGTATAACCATCCTAGTGGGTATGAAGTATGTCATGGTGGTTTTGATTTTCCTTTCCCCAACTATTAATGATGTTGAGCTTTCATGTGCTTATTGGCCATTCTAATATCTTCTTTGGAGAAATGTCTATTCAGAACTTTTGCCCATTTTTATTTATTTATTTATTTATTTATTTATTTATTTATTGAGACAGAGTCTCGCTCTGTTGCCCAGGCTGAAGTGCAGTGGCATGATCTCAGCTCACTGTAACCTCCGCCTCCTGAGTTCAAGCAATTCTTCTGCCTCAGCCGCCTGAGTAGCTGGGACCACAGACCCCTGCCACCATGCTGGCTGATTTTTGTATTTTTAGTAGAGACGGGGTTTCACCATGTTGGCCAGGCTCGTCTCAAACTCCTGACCTCAAGTGATCCACCCACCTCGGCCTCCCAAAGTGTTGGGATTACAGGCGTGAGCCACCAAGCTCAGCCTTTTGCCCATTGTTAGTTTAAAAAATCGCTTTTTAAATTATTGAGGTGTAGAAATTTTTTATTCTAGATACAAGTTCCCTGTCAGATATATACTTTACAAATATGCTCCCCTATCTGTGAGCTGTCCTTTCACTTTCTTGGTGATATCCTTTGCAGCACAGAAGTTTTTAATTTTAATAAAGTCCAACTTATCTATGTTTTTCATTTGTCCCTTGTGCTTTTGTTGTTTTATCTAATATACCATTGAAGACGTTTTCACTACTGTAATGATCATGAAAAAAACAGTACGGAGCAGATGTTGAGGAAAAACATGAAGTTTTTAGTTTCAGCTATTATGAAACAGAACTGGAAACACCTGGTCACAGCTGAGCAAATCCTATGACACTGTGTGTTATGGGACTGTGCTAGGTCTTAATGAGATGAGCCAAGAAATAGCAGCAATGTCCCCTGGAGGAAGAAAACACTGCTAACTCAATTTTCTC